CAAAAAAATAAATTATAGTAATGGATGAGAGTGAAAAAGCTTGTAAATACACGACGATCCCTGTGTGGAGCGGAATAAGACCGTTTCAGGCCTAACTTTAACAAATAAGAAATCGTTTTTTGAGTGCTTGCCTTGGATTCAAATGAGCTATTTTGTGTTTAGAACAACATATACTAATTTTCAAAGTATCAAATTGAATTTTTGTTCAATAAAAATCTTTCAAATGCGACTGTAGCTTTTTTCCCCCCTAAACTTTGTCTTCAAAATAAAAGTGCGCCTTATACACGGTGCGTCTTATATTCCGAAAAATACGGTAATTTAAATTTAACGGTAAAAGGACAATTTCAGGCTTTGGTAGCTATCATCTGATTCGTGTGGCCCCGAAGAAAGCGTTGAACATGCGTTTATGCTATTTTTAATGCTTATAAATATATTTAAGAAGTTGTGAAAGTGTTTCGTTGTTTTTATATATCATGGTCTACGAACGCATAGAGCTACGTGACGTAGTAGCGATATTTACGCAAATAAAATTTCCAAATATTTAAACCAACAATGAAGGCACTTAAAAAAGAAACACAAAATCACTGTCGAATGCGAAATTGCGGCTTTGAATTGGGTACAGTGTAAGTTTAGTTACTATTAACGTGTGTTTATTTTATTTTCCTAAGAGATTCAGTATCCAAAATATGAAAAATGTTTATCAGATGAACTACATTTCGCACTGGTGTTTCGGTGGGCTAAAGTAGTTGTAATTTGGTATGAAAGGTCAACGAAATGTGCAAATACTACTTTTAGGATGTCTCAAAAGTTGACGAGACTTCTACTATATAACTGGAGATGTGGTGAAATGATAATCAAAGGAGTTTCTCTTTAATTGTAGTTCGGATGTTAAACTTAATATTTATTTTATAAATTCATAGCAGAGTTAACTCCAAACTTTTGTTCAACAACTGTAACTCGAGGAAAAAACTAACATAATATTTGGTTGGTATATAGATTGTATCTTGTTTAAGTATTTATAATTATCTGTATAACTAATTTATTTATTATTTCAAGTTATATAGTAAGAAATCAAGATTTTCATTCAAGTCAAAAACTGTTTAACTGCGTAATTTACTGAAAACTTTACAGTAAATTGGACAATGTCCCAGTAAATATAATACATAATTATACCTATAGTTTTTCGTTCCTATAGAAGTTGAAATAAGAGAAGAACGCGTGATATGTATTTTTTCATTCCTCAGAAACAAAGTAAATTATGTCATTTTTTATGTGTTTGCTAATAAGTTCGAAATTAATAATATTGAATTCTCAGTGTATAGATTACCTTTCAATAATAAGTTATAATGTTGTTTCATTAATCGGCATGTCCCAAAACTTTAATAACAATCAATCCAAAATCTCGTTTCTTGAGAAATGATGATGCCTGTTTCTGAACATCCATTGTATGAATACTATTGCCATTATCTCTTGCGGCTTCTATCTTTGTGGTATAATTTTGAACCAATAAACCAAATTCCGAGTCAAAGTAAAAATAAAATGTCACAACAATCAAATTAAAAGTTATACATGAGGGTGGAAAATAGGATCCTGGTTTTTAAAAGTGAACTTTTCTGAAACTACTTGATAGTTTAATAATTTCTATAATCCCAGTTGATTAACTGGAAGTTTCAACAACATGTTTGTCTTCTTTGATAGGTTTTTTAGGCAGAGTATTCATAATGAATCTAAGTTTCAAATGGACAGCAACTGCCTGTTGTAGAAACCAAAAATTGTAGAGGACGACATTTGTAGGTTTCTATAACAGGCAGTTGCTGTCCATTTGAAACTTAGATTCATGTTTGTCTTCGTAAATCTAAATATAGAATTCAGATGAACTACTTTATTTGGTACTTACGTCATTACTCTTTGTAACAGTCACAACTGGAGAAAATGTACTTTCACGAACTCTCGGGAGTATTTACTTTTTGTAAATAAGCATAACCACACAACTTTTAATAGTTGGTTTGGGATATGCAAAGTTTAATA